TTTATTAGTCTACTAGTTTTTCATTATCTTTTTCTATACATTTAAAGTGGTTGTGTGCCTGGGTATTTGTCAGGATAAGAAGACAGCTATGCTCTGTGGGGCAGAGAGATTTCTTGCACTGCAGAAGCATCACGTTTTTTTCAGAGACATGATAATAATAATCATATCCTCTACTACCTCTTGCCAGACAACAAATGCTTTTCTATTTCTTTTTGCTAGCACTGAATTCTTATCACACTTAGGGGTTTATTTTACAGTAAGCAGACTTCCTTCAGTAGAATGGAATACATCTTAAATGCTAGTATAGCAGTCACATATATCTTAATTATTGTCTATCTTCAGAGCATGAAAGAAATGCACCATTTTATGAAGTCCTACACATTTTTTAAATAGAGAATGAGTTTATTACCTCTCTTGTTGGCAGGATTCTGTCACTTCTGAGGTTCTTGGGTAACAGCATTAAGAATGCCAGATAGGTTGTTTGGCTTAGAGCAATCTTTAGACAGAAAGGTAGAATCTTCTAAAAAGGAAATTACTTAGTAAATTACCTGGTTTGCAGATTTTTGCTTGATGCATCTGCCAAGAGACTGATAGTCCTTTAAAGCTGTTTGCACATCTGAGCTTCAAAGTTGCCCTTTTGCTGCCACAGACACACAGAGTATCCAACAGAGCCGTTGCTGTGTGCTCCTTGGATGGCTTGCATCTCCCTACTTATACTGTACCGCCTCTGGACCCTTTATGCAAATAGCTCTGAGGTAGTTTAGGGGATATGATGTGTTGGGGCTTTTTTTACTGCTCTCAGCTGCATTTTGAATGCATTTTAAGACTTGGATAGTTAATTGCTGACCTCCATATATCCATGCTCGACTCCCAGAAATTGTTATTTTCCCATTCTCTAAAGAGATTATGTTGAATTTTATGTAACTTAGCATAAAGAAAAGGAGTTTTTTCTCTGCAAAACTAAGCTCGTGCGTCCTCTGTTAAGCAAGTACTGTGGAATAAATGCAGAGAGGTAGGCTAGACAAGAAAGACAATGATAAAAATATAATGGATTATATTTAAATAAGTTTGCACCATGAGTTCTTATTCTGAATGACACTACACAGTTTCTGACTCACAATTCTGTATTTTCTTGGCATAGGGTTCCACAAACAGTACTTTAGAATATGGAATGCACAGCCTTAGATATTAAAACATGGTTATCTTGCTGCTATGTGCTTCAAAAAGCATTATACTATTGTAACTAGAAATAAGACTCCCTGTCTTTAACCCACCTGTCTATTTAAGATATTCTTCCACACAGTACTACTGAAAACAAATCATGCAGGGGGTACAGCTGCTTGGCGTTTCCTAGGTGTAATAACTCCTTAAGGTCTCTTGGGGTATGACACCTGTGTTTAAAAATATTACTGTATTGCCCTTAAATTAGAGTGGCCATTGATGAAATGGGAAACTGCCTGTTTTCGTTCTCATTAAAATCTCCTTGACACCTTTGAGCTGAGGACTCCCTTTAGAGAACAGGGTGAAATCCTGTGTTACAACTACATCTCCATGCAAAGCTTTTCAGCAGGTGCAAAATTATATTCACAGTGCAATGCCCAGGACTTCCAGCCTGGCCAGCTGTGCTCCTTTGCTAGACTTATTTTTGTCTTATTTTGGACTGATTTAGAGTTTTAATACTTTATTTGAAGAAAGAAAGTTAAAATTAAGCTCCTCAAAGAGTCTTCGTTTTTCATGAAAAATGTCCTTTTCCTATTTCACAGGTGGAAAACTGTCTATTTTTAATATGCCATCTTTATTTTTAGAATTCTGTTTTGTTTTTCTTTTGCCACATTTTTTTCAGTTTCATTTTCCCCACAGGTGATTCTTCTCTTTAAAAGATTTCTGGAGGTTTATTTTATAAGTGTAAATGTCCTTTCTTCCCCCTCACTGCACAATTACTCATGACACTGAAATGAATTCATGGGTAGGAAGGAGAGTTTGTTTTCTCAAACTCTAGAGCCTTCCAAGCTGTACTTTTCTGTCTGTCACAATCCACTGACACCCCAGACTTGCCCAGAGCTTGTGTCAGCACAGGATTTGGCTCCCAGTCCTCCTGGACATCTATGGTAGGTTCTGGAATTACACAGGGATGTCCAACTACTGCATTTCACACCTAAATACAGCATTTCAGCACCACTGTGATCCTCGACCCCTTTGTCCAGCTGCTGTATTTTATCACAGGTGTATCAAGTCCCTTGAGCTGCTTCATCAGCTCTGTTGATTAAGTTCCTTATTTTTCTTTTAAACATTCTCAAGAGCACACCAGCTTCTCAAAAGGCTTCTAAATGAAGAAACTGAGAGGCAGACAACTCCTTCCAAAGCAGTGAGACCCTTACATGTGAGCTGTGAGGATTGAGGTTTGTGTTCCTCCCCTCTCCAGCCTGCTTGTTGCTGCTGTGGCTGACTCGGGTCACTCTCAGGATGAGCAGGAGCCTGGGGCCTCCACTTGTGCTGAGCACTCGCCCAGCTCAGTGTTAGTGTTCATAGCAACTGGGCCTTAGCATTGGGTCTGTCACTGGGCACACAGTTGCTGGTCCCTAAAAAGTCCTCAAAGGTGAATAATGAGAAAATCTGCTGCTAACCCAAGTCTGATCTCCATTTTAAAGAATTTAACCGCTCGTGTGTTGTGCAGTTAGTCAGCTACGACATCCAAGTTCTCCTTGGCAGATTTTTGCATTTTTACATCTTCCTTGGGACACCTTGCTCTGGTCGCTGTCAGAGATTAGCTGAAGTACATTGCTCGTTTTTAATATGGCCATCCCTGTAGGAATCCCAAAATATAGAAGTTGTTATGGGAACTGCTCTTCTGTTCTCAGACTGTAAGATAAAAAAAATTCATGTGTGGAATTAAAGGGCCATTGCATTTGTTATCAGTTTCCTAAGAGGTGCTGAGTTTTTAAGTGGCTTGCCCTTTGTCACAGAGCCGTAGTTGTAGAGCCAGTGACATCAGAATCCATTCACTTATCATTCCTTTATTGAAACAGCTTGGGTTTTTGGTAGTACCTCACAAGACACACACCCTTCTCATTTAAAAGCTTGTCTGCATGACATTACTTCTGTGTGAAGGACTGAGAGAATTACGTCCACTGGCTACTTAAAGCATTCCATTAATTTTTATTAAGTGTACACTATCACTGGGACTGTAGTTTTCTATCTTCTCATATCTTTAAATAATTTTATCCTCTTGGATATTTACTGAATTGTATTTCTTGCAATGGCTGCAAATCTAAGCTGTTCTGTCTGAACTTCTTCTTGTTAACAGTGCTGTAAATTACGAATGACTTGTTTGCTAACAGGAATAGAGGGAAATCAGCTCTTTTATTTTCTGTGGAAAATGTAAAAGCACAGCTTATTTAGATCACTCCTCCCAGTTTGTTCCTTGAATTGGACTACTCATGCAGAAAATGACAGAGATGGGTATCAGTAATAGGTGGACAACTCACTCTCTTCCCATGTGATCCTTCCTAACATGTCCCTTTTCCTGCATCACAACAGGTAGTTTGCCCTGCAGGAAGATATGTTGTATTTTTGTGAGAGGTATAATTCCAGCTTCTCTTCATCTTGATTTTAACAACATCAAAGTGTCAGAGTGGGTACAGCCACAATGATCTTTAGATGTATAGTTTTACAAGGGAGGCAAGCTTTCAGGAATACAAACCTTTCTTAGACCTGAGGAAAGGCATTCATGTCTGAAAGTTTGTCTCTCTTAGGACTTAAAAAGGACTTATGATCCCCCAGAACTGTCAGCTTTTCACGGCTATAGACATCACTAAAATAAAAGAAGCCTCGGAGTTTTATAGTTTTGCAAACATGGAAGTATTGAAGCTTAATCTTTTGGATTCATTGAAACTAATAGAAAATCCTTTGAGGAAACTTAATATATAGAGAAAGTAGGCCTTCTGTTTTAAATAATGAATAGAATGAGTATTGAATGAGATGAGAACATTAATTTCTGTGTGGGGAAGGTCTTAATAGAATTACTGAGTAAATTCCACATGGAACATGTGCGCAGCTCCCCTCACCAATTTCAATCCATAAAGGGAAGGCTGTTGTATTAGAAGGAAAGGGGAGTATCCCACACAGCATTAAAACTGTTGTCAAAAGGTATATAAATAACATGCTGCTTGTATTGGCTAAATAGTTTTATTATTTCCTAAGGAAGCAAATACAAAGCACTATGACATTAATACCACATACTGGTTTACTGACAGATTTTTCCATATTAAACAGCATATTATGGAGCCAGAATTTTGCAGGTTTAATTGTATATTTAGGAGTCAGATTAACTCACATTTTGTTCCTTCTGGGATGGTGGCAATTTGGAATTAAAGATCTCAATGGATTCGTTGTGGTGCTCCTTTATTTTGTAATTATCTTCACAATGTTTATGCAGGGTCATTTCTATAGTTTTCCAGTCGAGAACCCTGTTATTTGGAAAGAAAGTGCCCATCTTCAGAAAGAGTATCACTGTACCCTGTTTCTTGTTGCAGGCACAGTCCAGGATCTTTCAAACCAAATAATGTCACTTAATGAAACAAACAAGACCCTATCCCTCCAGGCACCAAAAAACTCCAGCTGCCCAGCTGTCGTTTTATCACAGTTGCTAATGACAGAACTCAAGAGCTTCTTGTTCACTTCCAACAGGGAATTAGTCACTGGGCAAAGCAAATTTACAGCTCAGTTTACCTTGCCAAAATACAAGAATAGATTCAGGGAAATTTGATTTGGTTTGATAGAAGACATCCAGTTTCCTTTCAAGAGAAAGTTTGACTCACACTGTCAGGTAATTTTACTAATTTTAATGGGTTTTACTAATTAACTGTTCCTGTCTTCTTTTTTTATTACCTTTATTTGTCTTAGTAGTTACTAAGTTACTTGATCTGCTCATTTTGTGATGGCTTATATTTGCTCACCATGTTATTCTTCCTGCAGTAAAATCAGTAATTTTATCTTTTCAGCTTCTGATTTTTAAGAGTCCTCTAGCACAGCAACAGTGAAGATCAGAGTCCTGTTATGGTAAGTACTATACCAAAGTAAAACTGAAACTGTCTATCCCAAGAGAGTTAGAATGAAGTCTAAATGTATATATATACAGCTACATATGCACCCACACTTATCATACTTCTCTACATTCACCAAGGTGTATGAAATGATTGATCAAGCAAGAGGGTAGAGTAATCATGTCAGTTGTGCTGGGCATAAATGTAATATTTCAAGAGTTCTAGTAGCTGTAAATCAGCACCAAGACATTGAGGGTCAGATTACAGTTGATTTGTGAGCTTTGCTGCAGTATTGCAAAAGGACGTGGAAGAAAGAAGACAGTCATTTTATCCTGGCGAGAATTTCCTCCCCTGTGTAAGAAAAGGCTTATAAGAAAGCTGGTCACTTGCCATCATCAGAAGAATGGAGACATCTGCAGGAATCTGTCCAATTCCAGCATGGGCTATTTATGGGAAGGTTTTAGCAAATAGTAGTGATACAGTTTACAGTTTCTGGTACCGTCCATTAGTTCCACTGTGTCTGCAGAGCATGTGGCAATGAGAATAGTTAGGGGTTTTTTAATTCCATCACTTGCAACCATCACTAATGACACCAGTGAAACTGGAAGCTGTTAGAATCCAAGCCTTCAGTGTACTGAAGATATGGATTAGTGGAATCAAAGGTGTGGATTGGTGGAATCAAAGATGTGGATAAGTGGCTAGAAGTCAACTGAGAAATGCTACGGCCTGTACTTGACTAACCACAGAAGCCACCAGAGATCTAATACAGTGCTGATGTTCGCATTGTGCAGAGCACAACAGGTCAGGAAGTGCCTTCTTTGGTGGGTTAAGTGAATTACCTGGTTAATATGAGGGAAGTTCATAGAGCAGTCAGTGTAGAACTGTTCCCCTGCCCAGTCGTTGAGATGAAGATTGATGTGCAACTGAGAAAATTGGAGGGGGAGGAAGAAGATCCCCACAACCAGTTGTTCAAGTAAGATGATTTTGATATTGTACTGTGAGCTGCATAACGACAAAGACCTTTATGTAATTTGCATCTTTATAACTTTCATAGTCATTGTAATAACAATAGGCTTTTCCACTGGTGCTTAATGGCTTTGTTTACAAGCAAACAGTGTGAGGTGAGAATCAGTGGTATTCAGCTGCCATTTGGGGGCGGAGATTATTATTAAAGCTGTTCCATCGGCCAAATATTAGACATCATGCTTGAGTGGACCATGAAGGCACATATGTGGTCAGTGAGGTCCCTGCTGAGACCAGGAGTAGTATTGACTTTTAGAAATGGCTTCTGTGATGTTCCTGTGGATTGCTCTTCATGTCTGTCCAGCTGGCACACTCCATGCATACCAAGGGAAGCTGAGTGAATGAACGTGTAGCACTGGAGTAAAGTTCCTTGAGTCATTTGATACTTGCTTCTGCTGAGAAGATTGTGAGGCACAAAGCCTATATGCCTCTCAGCTCTTTTCTCACTGCCTTCCCCCTGGGTCTTTTGAGCTGAGCCTGAACATGAACAAAGATGCATTTAAAAGTAGTTAGGTGATGGTTTGCAGACGCAAACTACAGCAGCTGTTGTATTTTTATAAGCACCAAGCTGGGAGGCCACATGGTTATTTGGTTGAGTCTGAGAACTGGGACAGCTGATTCTAATTCTGTCTCTCCCATTGAATTGCTCTGTGACTGTCAGTGGCACATTAAGGCAGAAATCCAGCTGTAGTTAAAATCAGAGTCGGATTTTTCCTAGATGGTAACTGAAGTTAGGTAGACTGTAAATACCTGAGTTTTGTGTTCCCTGTCCACAAATAAGCAATACTGATATGATACAGTGACTTTTGATGCTTGCGATGTGCTTTGAAAATCACAAGTCATGACGAGAGAAGTAAAAATTCTTGTTTATATTTGGGTGGGGTTTTTTAGGGAGCAAGTAGAATTCACCAAGCCCAGTTGGCCTGATGTGCGAATTTAAGTCAAGAAAATGGTAAATAGAAAACTCGTGTTTGATTGGACTCCGATGAAGCTTTGTTGTGACCAGTTGTGTTAAGAACACAATTATACATTATATGTATGTATATAATAAGTATCAGCAATTTCACAGGATTCTTTCTGCAAATATCTGATGACTTCGATAAACAGTTTTCTCCTCCAGATTTCTTTTTTTCCTTGTCTATAGCTGCTGTCAGATTTGAAATGTTCTATGTTGGCATCTAAATGGTATGATCAAATTCTAGAATGCACTCCTGGAATGGCTGGTGATGGTCTTCATAGCCTTGAATGTAGAGACAGCTGTAATGCACCAGTGATTTTCAACTTTGGTATGAGAGAGTGCAGGGATTGGAATGACTTCAAAGGGATGAGAAAAGCACATTAGTAAAAGCAATCCTTTTGTTAAATTTTCTCTATGATGATCTGTGGGTCACCTAGAAAATGCTTACAAATCTAGAAACTGCAAAAAAAGTAAAGCAACTAGAAAAAGTAAAAAAATTCTCCTGGGAGTCACTTTCAGACCTGCATTTCCATGACAGATTCAGAGACCACCATGCAAGATGAGGAGTTAGAACTTTCATAACATTACATTTCTATAGCTATTATTCAAAAATATGACCCAGTATTCTGACATTTGAAATAGCTTATCAAGGCAAAGAAGCTGACAGACTGTTTTTAAAATACCTTCTGGAAGATCTCAGCAGTAATCTGTGATTATTTCTGAGCTTCCACTGCTCGTGTTGAGTAAATGAAGCTCGGGTCTTATTGTATGGACAGATTATGAAAATGCCAAGGATTGCCTGATAAGCAGGTAGTGCCATTGATCACTAACTGTACTTAGTAAACACAGTGCCATTGTCATTGGAATAACAAATTATCTCTAAGACAATGTCAGGGTAAGTCTGATTGACCTTTTACAACTACTTGTGCTTTTATTGGAAAACAGTAACTCCATCTTCATTAGAATCAAGTCCAGTTCTGCTTGGGGCCAGGTATAGAGCAAAATAGTTGCATGGGAAGGAGGAAGGCATGTAGCAGTTTTCTTTACTTGATGGTAAAGCCTGTAATGGGGAACTGGAAATCACTGCTAAATGGATGCTAAGTTAAGGATACCTACACCTGTGAGTGTGTTACGTAGTTCATCTGGAACTGAGCTATATTAAGTGTTTCACACCTCTCACTTGCTTCTGTCAGTGATGGTCCAGCTGCTCTTTAGCATGGTGCAGTGAGAAGAATCAGCCCAGCTCACTGCCCTGTCCTTAGTTCTGAATGCTTTTGTCACCTCTCTGACAGAGAGGAGTAACTGATCTGTCTAAGCATGAGATCTTCACGGAATGCTGCAAAATGAAAAGTTCTATACATCCCTTATCATTTCTGCCTACAAGTACATCACCCCATGTTCAGGGGCTGTCAGGTCTTCCAATGGTAAAAAGGTTGTTTAAGGCTTTTGAGTCAAGACTGGTGTGAGACCTTGTGTAAATTTAAGAACAGAGATAATCTTGCAGAGAGCTGCTTAAAGGTGTTTACATTTGGCATTTCTGTTTCCTGTCTGTAGTGTGAGATGAGTGCCTAACTTAGAAAAAAAAATGTGGGCAGGAGTCACAAAAAAATGTGAAATTCTCCACTTAAAGTGCTAAAACCCCAGTGTTGATGACAGGCAATGTGAATTTTGCCCTCTGGAAGCAAAACGTAGCATATATCTTGTGGGGGCTAGAACCTGTCAATGGCTGATACCCCAAGAGTAGACTTTACCTTAGTGTTAAATAGGGCATTTCATGCAGCATAGGTGAAAAATGGCATCAAGTCCAGAGATTAGAGTCTTGCAGGAGGCACTTTCTGACACGCAGGCTGCCTGGGACTGGCATTAAGTCCATCCCAGCCAGACCCTGTGCAGCAGTGGTTGCAGAGGAGCTATGAGGAGTTTGTAAATAGGGCTCTGAGTTAGCAAGTCCTTTTTCTGGCATGGACAAAGAAGCCAGTTTTCCCAGTCAAGCCACGTGCAATGTGCTCATTCTGTAGTGGACTTAAATTGCAAGGTTATTGAATCCTTTTAGCCTTGGGTAGCTGCAGACCACTTAATTACAGGGTCAGTGGTCTACAGTAGTGAAGAGATTGGGGACCTCATGAGGTAAAACAGCATCTGATTACACAATAAATCATGGTTTATTTGGACTTGGCTTCAGAATCTAGACTACATGGTGTTATTGTTTGGACCTTCCTACTAAAATAATTTAGCAGTCTGCAGGACTACAAATTTTGTTACCACTGAATTCTGCTGTTCAGAGTTTTCAGCTGCCTTGCAAATTGATAACACAAAAAATCAAAACCAATGTAATGACCATGAATTTACACTTAAGTGATGAAATTTTCAAAGGGTTATCCTTCCCATTTAGACACAAAGGAAGTAGCCAGATTTGTTCAAGTAGTTGTTGTCTTGGGCACTTTGGTCTTTTGAAGATCTGACAACACATGTAATAGTGGCAGCCTCTAGGTATCAGATACCATCCTCTCTGTGTATGAGAGCAGAAGCAGAGCCCCACTAAAACATGTGAATCAACTTTAGCCCTTGCAATTGTATCACAGAATAAGTCTGTGATTTTAGCAGAATTTAGGTCTCCTGGAAACCCAAGTGAAAAGATGAAGTTAAATGAGTGATATTGTGTCATCTTATTTGTTATTACCAGAGGTTGCTAAAGGTCTTTAGTTATTTAATGTTTATCTGCTTCAGAAAACATATTGATGTCCTTGATTACATCCATTCTTCAAAGACACTGAGGTAAACAAATGTCTCATGAAGTGACTGCCCATTATTTTTGCTGCAATATTCAGGGGTGGGAGAGGGATCAAATGAAGTTCGTATTTAGTCTCAAAAGAAGGTTTCTTTATAGTGATGCTAAAAATAATAACTGTTTTATGAAGCTTAGAAGACCTTGGAAGAAGTTTCCTCTCAAAAAACTCTTTTAAGTGCTACAGCAGTTGGTAAATTCTCTGTTTTAAATTGGCACCAGCAATGTTTTGTAGTCCAGCAGAATTGAATTTCTCCCTGTCAAATCTGCCTTGATTTCAGGTTCAAGACTGAATCTGGGGTGAGGTTGAGGCAATAATTTCAGTGCAGTTACATTGTAGATGAATTTGCTTTTTAAAAAAATTTAAGATAAAGGTTAAGTAGCATGAGGCTAGAAGCATAGGGTGGGGTTTTGTTTGTTTGTTTTCTTGCCTAGGAAATAGTCTATTAGTTGTTTCTGGTCCAGTCTGGAGTAAATTTTGTATCTGGTAGGCAACTGCAACTCCTCTGTTCGTTGGCGTTGCTTCCCAGGATTTGGGCTGTGGTGGCCGTAGCAGGTGACAGAGCTAGGGAGGTACTGCTCTCGAGGAATCCACTGGGTGCAGGTGACTCGAGGGGCAGCTGCAGTGAAGCTGTGGGTTGAACTTTGGGGGTGAGAGCCCCCGGCAAGAGGCTGTGAACTGCCAACCTTCTGCATAGCAAAGAGCCCAGGGTCCTGTGGCATAACCAGGTGAGGGACATTCAGAGACGTGGCAGGAGCCAGCGACCCCCAGACTTTGGGCACAGGCAGGTGAGGGACACTCAGGGACATGGCAGGAGCCAGTGACCCAGGTTTTCCCCTGTTTAGACTGGGAGGGTGTAAAAGCCCAAGGGTTCCTTTGTCCAGGGTCCCTCCTCCGAGGCACCAAGCTCCAGCTGTTACTTTGTTCGTTATTGCACCAAGGATCAGGGCATCTGACTGTGCTGCAGGAAACCTGAGGTGGAGCCGGTGAGGAAATGCTGTCTGACTCTGTGAGTGTGGGGGGAGCAGCTGTGCAGGGGCCTGGGTGCCAGCTCAGGGGGTGCCAGCATAACTGCCAGGGGGGCTCCTGGAGGATTGGACAGGGAAGTTTCCTTAACAAGGCTCAGAGGGTTGTACCTGCTGGTGCTGCTGTGGTGTTCAGAGCCCAGTGAAGCAAAGGGGAGCTATAGCCATTCTGTAATCTTTAATATTAATAAATTAATATTGTCCTTGTGTGATTGAATTTTCAGCATCCCAACGATGCTGGAAGTTTTCCAACCAGATGTGCTTTCTCCAGGGTCCTTGAAGCTGCTTCGAAGTACAGCTTCATTGCAATTCATTGGCAATTTTCCTGGTTATCAGAAGTGTAAGAGTTTAGGCTTGACTTGTTCAAACTCATATTTTTCTTATTCAGTAATGTTGGCACAAACCCTGTAGCCTGTCTACCAACGAGGACAGAGCACAAATAACACACAGTTTGTGTTTTTAAAGAGACTTATGTATCAAACTAAGGAAAAACAATCAATGACCATTTAGATGTTTCTGACTGAACAAGATGTCTTTAAATTAAGTCTCGCATCTCAGACTTGAAAACAAGAACACTCTGACTTCCTAATTTAGCCACTAAAGAGCAGAGAAAGGAGTTTGATTGAGTTATTTGGCCAGGTGACATATATACTTCCACCAGGGTTCTTTGGCAGGAGAGCATTTTTCCTCCAGGCATCGGTCACAGTGAACAAACTGCCTTTAGGGGAGCAGAAAGACTGGGGAAAAGACTAAAATACTCAATTGGTGACCTTGTAACTAAGCAGCAGTTCATGCTAGTTCTCAGATTTTTTTTCTTGGTTCAAGAAACTCACTAATTTTAGAACTAATTGTTGCTGCAAGGAACAGAGCACAGTCACACAGCTGGAGGCATAGAGAGTAGAATAGGGGCAGCTGGTTTTAGACCAGCATAATCTGTGTTACAGTTAACCATAATCAGATCTAATTGCACATAATCACTGAAAGGACAGTCTCATTCTTTCTTCCTATCCATACCACTCCATATTCTTGCTTGAATAAATTGCAGGGACTGCTCAACCCCAGTTGATTTAATTTAACATACTGATCAGATGGATCAAGAAGGGTTGGAACTTGGCACAGGGCTAGGCATTCCCAGGACACAGACTGAAATGCTACTCTGCTTTCGTCCTCATGTAGTAAGACCTACTCACTGCAAGTATTTCTAGGGTTGCAAGAAATTGTGCTGCTGATCTCTGCTTATTTTGTCGAGGATGGGTGCTGTGTTTACCTGCTTATTTAGAAAAGAGCTGGATAAACCATATGTACTAGTATTAGGAATTAAAAGCCTCTTGGACCTGCTACTCATTTGAGCCACAAAAGGGAAGCTGCCAAGTTGCTCTCATAAATATCAAAAAGTTAGATCTTGTGTGGAAATAAGAGCCAGAGTGATTAAGAACTGATTTGCAAAGCAAGCAAGGATTACAAACGTGTTTGTTTTCTCACACCTGCTCTCCACTTCAATAGTACAATAAAGCAAGACGTAGCTAATGCACCTTCTCCCAGATTGGATAATGTACTCAAGGGAATATGAGGCTTTGAAGATCACACCACCATTTGCCCAATTATACTTAATAACAACACATTGTTCCTGCAAAACGTGTCTATTCCTTGGTAGGTTACATTTCCTTTCAGCCTTCTACCTATTGATCCACTGGTACCTCATGTAGAACAAACTTCTTTGTTGGCAAGTCATGTTTATGAGACTAAAAAAATCATTTATGTCACCTTCTTAACATCTTACCAAGTCAGCAAGAGGAAAAGCTTCTTATATGGAGCATGACAAATTTTTGCAATCTTTGTAAAACAAAGCAATAAACAGAATGTCTGTATGGTTTGGACTATACAGATCATTCATGTTCTGTGTTCACTATTTCTTTGTGTGCTTTCTGTTTTTATTTCATAAAGCATCTTCAAATATGTGAAAAAGGTGTCTGCACTACATAACACTTAGAGTAATGATTGTTTAATCTTGAACTCCAAGTAGGTATATAATCCATTACAGAAAATGAGATGTTTGCTAAGCAAAGCTGCAGCATCATGAAACTCGAGGCGTATTTACTTCACTTTTTTTAGTGGGAGTAGAAGGACTTGAAGAAAGCTGGTGAAATGATATATCCCTAATTAAAACATTTTTATGTCTGTCTTCTGTGAACATTCATGACTATGAGTACAGGCTGATAAGTAAGGGCAGGTTGGATTCTGGTTGCTCTCAGAAATTATCTCCTGAGTTACTCTTACTAGTTGTAAACTGCAACAAAAGAAACAGCTTTTTACAAATGCAGAACCATTTTATGACTTCACAGTTGTCATAATAGCTCACTACCGTGATTCAGCACTTTCTAGTGGGATTAACCTCAAGCCACAGCTGTGGATTCCAGAACATTGCATAAGTGAAAAAAAGCATCCTTGCCATTTTCAAAAGTAATCCTGATTTTTGCCCAGCCCTAACTGCAGTGTAGTTCCATGGCCAAGGAAATAGTTTCAGTATTGGCCAGCACACTAATTCTGTTTTCAGTAAGTTCCCCCCGGAACCTGCTATGGAACATGAGCATTCCTGTTGCCCCTCCTGTTCCTTGTCCCAGCTCTTCCCATGGGATAGTTGGAGCTGGTTCTAAACTTGGGTGATTTTATTAGGTCTCTTCAATTAGATGAACTTCAAGACTGAACATCACACCCAGCCAGTACGTCTTAATAAGTCAGGCTCACTGCTTGAATCCATTTTGTCTCCTCCACAGCCTTTATTTTCTGCATGCATCCTCAGAAGGATGGCAAACCTGGCAGGCTTTACTTACCTGAAAACATGTTTTTTCTCTCCCACTGTATGAGAACTGGGAGTTCAGCACTCAGTGTCACAAAGAGAGAAACTCATTATGCCGCCAAATCATTCCTCCAAAGCTGTCTGTCTGCATATTGATCCCTTGATCTTAAGTAAACTCTGTAGTTAATCATAATTACTCTGGAACATCTCATTCCAGTGACTGGATCAATGTCTTTAATGGCCTCCTGCTGTGTGTACCTGTCATGCCTGGCCACCTCTGTGTCACCTGCTGTTGGAGTCCAGTGCAATAACCTGCCGTGGTGGTGAGAATGCTGTCAGCCCCTTCCCACTCACTTGGGGCTCGGCTAGGACACAGCATGAGGCCTCAGATGCAGGGCATTTGTAATGAATGTCCCTGTGAACTCCACGCTGTTCCTAATGCCCAGGCTGGGACATTTCCCCCCACGTCTCAGCCAGTCAGGCCTAATGGCTGTGGGATGCTTGTCATGAACCTGCTTTGGGCAGAAATACAGATAAACATATCCAAGTTTCCCTTTTCATCCAGAGGCTCAGAGTAAAGCAGAGTAATGAGTCCAGGGGCTCACTGAAGGACAGAGGACCAGGAGGTGAGCCGGGCAGGAGCCTCCCAGTGCAGCACCTGAGTGCACACCTGTGTGCAGGGAACAGGGCTGAGGGTGGCAGCCAGGGCCAAGCAGAGCATCAGGGCAGCTGGTGTTGATAAGGTCCAGCCAGAACATCAGTCCATGGGTCAGGGTCAGGTCTAGGGACAGTAACCAGGGTTACACAGTCAGCTGAGTGCCAGGCGGGTCTGTATGCCAAGGCAGGTGATGTGGGCTTGGTACACCTGGGCACAGCCTCTGGGCCTCTCTTGTTTGTCCTGCTCAGGTGCTGGGGGAGGCCTTGGAGGCCTCTGACAGCTGTGCTATGGTGTTCAACTCCTGGCTCTTCATCCTTTAGTGAGCAGCCAGCCCTTGCTGTGCCCTGGCAGTGACTGAGGAAAGCTTTTACTCTTTTTACCCTTTTCCCTCCTTCTCCCATTGTAAAACATGCAGCTTAGGGATGAGATCTGAGCAGTCAGACAATTTTAAAGCAGCAGTTGCAAAACAGAATGGTGCTCTGTTACCTGCTTACCCAGAGTTAGACATGTGCTAATCTTAAATTATTTCTGAATCTTTCTGATAGACAAGGCCAGTTGTGTGTTTGTTATGCACAAAGCTTAGTCATTCAAAAACTGTCAAACAAGGCTGGGTTTTCTGTGGGACTTCTTAGGTTTCTCAGGGATGTGGTTCCTTTTTTCTATACTATTTTGATGATACGTATCCCATCTTGTTTAGATGTGATTATAGAGAAGCCAACTATATTTGCTATAAATTTCTGTAAGACCTACTATATCTAGATCTAGTATAACTTAGGAAAACTTGTAAGTGCTGATCCCTCCCACCAACTTCAATGGTTTTAGTACACTTACACACCTAGAGAGTAAGAAGTATTTGGATATGCCTTAGCAGTGTAAACACATAAATCTGTAATGGTAGTGCAGAAAAAGCTTTATAGAAAGTATAAATAAAATTTAAAAATGCATCCAGCCTCATACTCTCTTAGTCCTCTTCACCTGAAAGCAAAGTGGCATTCTTAGATGATAGCTTGGAGCCTGAAAGAAATAGTCTACAATAAACTTTTGTTCTCAGGGAAGGGTGTCAGCTGGGAATTTGTCTTCTTATAAATGAGCTGTCTTTGTATGCTGGTAAAGTACCTCTAATGAACACAGGGCAAAAATTTTAAGGTATGCTTTAAAACAATTGCAAGTGGATTTGTAGTACATTACTTACCTGAAAGTCAAGAACTGAGCTTGGCCCAACACGTTGTTCCCATACTCTGTTCTTGTTATGTTATTTTACTGCAAGCTTAATTCCACACAGATAATGAATTGGAGTGCCTCAAAGGTAATTTTAGGTTAATGCACTGGAATTGAACTACATAGTATTGCATAGCCTTTGTGCAACAGTCTGAATAGAAGCCAGTTAAGTGCTGTAAAACTTGGTGCATCCCTAGATGCTGTAAACTGATCAAGGTTAAAAGTGGGGTGGACAGCTTTTCAAAAGAGCTTCTGAGCAATTCTTTATTTAGCGTAGAAATGGAACTGTCACAGCCCTTTTTATGCTACTGGAACAACCACTTGTACTTCCCTGAAGCCTTTATATGAGGATCTTGTCTTTTACAAAAGCAAATTTTGTTATTGCTAGTTAGAAATACAGAAAATTGAGTTACAGCAAGGTACCGTGACCTCATTCCTATCTGTAGAATGCAATTTTAATTCTGGATTTAAATATTCCAAATTCAAGTGTTGCCATCCAGATCAGAAGTTGATAACCTGAATTCATCACAAAATCCATCATTAGTTGCTCACCTCAGGCTGTCTCTTGGTTCCCCAATACTCTGCACTTCAGGACACGCAGTGTCCTGTGTCCATAATGCAGCTCTCAAGCTAGTCTTACTCCCTTGTTCTCTCTCATACAGACAGCTAAAACGGAAGACAGGGAAAAAAAAGTGGAAAACAAGGACTTCCTGCATTTTTGCATTTCTTTTTTTCCCAGCCTAATTTGTGCTTCTAGACATACTGAATATTCAGCTCACACAGTAGAGCCAAAGCCAAGCCTACTCCCAGCAGTCTCTTGAAAACGGAGAGAACATGCTCGGTACAAGTCTGTCCTTCACAGTCTGTTCCCTGAGCCAGCTCATGTGGCCTGAATAACTCAAAGGCCTGCAGTTTCCACATTTTAGCTGTATCTCAGCATTTTAGTGGATAAAATGTTCTTGGGTATTTCAACTGAAGTTTGTAAAGAGTTTTGTAGGAAAAAAATTATGCAGAAATGTGTTTGTGAATTTATAATAGTCAGATTTGATTATTGATTTCTAACTGACCTGAATCTCTCCATGTTTCCTAAATCCATCCTAGCATAAAATTGGTTTGAATAAAACCCTGCTTTTACTAACCACTCCCCTCCCCATTTGTGTAATTCAGTGTTACAAGCTCAGCTCCTTGTAGCCTCTTTGTGGATATAAGGTGTGAGGCAGGACAGACGTGTAGATGGCAAGAGCAGCTGCTGGCAAGAGAGTGCAAACTGGCAGCAAAGTCCCTGTGGTCCTTCCAAGGATGCACAGTCACTTTGAGTGATGCAGTGCTGTTGGGTATGTTTACAAGGGTTCAGACTAATGAGTGATATATTAACATTTGATTAATTGTAGTGCATTAGAGAGGCAGTATGAACTCCAGGAACAGCAGCAGGAGCAGTGCCTGCCCACTCCTTTCCCTGAGAGGGGGACATCGCTTGGTTACCCGGTCTGAGACACATGCTATGTTTTATTCCACCTGCAGGTCCAGCCTACATGGGGCCCTGAAACCTCTGCTATGATGCAGCTGTACTGTGTGCCCCACTTCTACAACAGAGACACCTACTCCCAAAGGTTTCAGTAGTTCCCCACCTTCTCAGTTCAGGCATTCTTCCCATTTTATACAACAGAAAGATTAAACCATTTTTCTCTTGATTCTCAGGCAGGAGTTCAACAAAGTTTGAATTAAAAATGCAAAACCAAGTAAAAGTGCAGTAGCAGTATGAAATAAAACTGTTAGAAGTGTCCAGAATGGTTATAGATCAGATAGCCTGGGTTTTTTAGAGAAAATAATACTTGTATCTAATTGAAGTCCAGGGTACAGGTCTGTATTATGCAGTAAAAAGCCAATATGCAATTCTAGCCCACACACTGGCTATGAAACAGGTATTTCAGCCCTAACATGAGTGTGTGCTGTCCCTAGATGCTGTCAGTATGTGCAGTCTGTGTGTGTGTGCCTGTAGGACCCACTGCCTGCATGGCCGGTGCCGCTCATTCCCAGCTTGGACCCAGCTGGGTCCCAGTCCCCACTCAGTCCTGGTGCCAGCCCATCTCACTCCCTGCCTGGTCCGTGCTTGGTCCCGGTCCCAGTGCTGCTTCCTGCTCGGTGCTGGTGCCAGTCCCCGCTCAGTGCCGGTCCCGGTCCCGGTCCCAGTGCCAGTCCCAGTCCCGGTCCCAGACCCAGTGCCAGTCCCAGTCCCGGTCCCAGTCCCATTGCCGGTCCCCTTGCCGGTCCCAATCCCGGTCCCAGTCCCGGTCCCAGCCCCGGTCCCAATCCCAGTCCCAATCCCAGTCCCAGTCCCAATCCCGCTCCCCTTGCCGGTCCCAGTCCCAGTCCCAGTCCCAATCCCGCTCCCCTTGCCGGTCCCAGTCCCGGTCCCAGTCCCAATCCCGCTCCCCTTGCCGGTCCCAGTCCCAGTCCCAGTCCCAATCCCGCTCCCCTTGCCGGTCCCAGTCCCGGTCCCAGTCCCAATCCCGCTCCCCTTGCCGGTCCCAGTCCCAGTCCCATTCCCTTTGCCGTCCCCCCGCCCTCAGGCTCTGCCGCCGGCGGGTCCCAGCTCCGCTCCCCGGGCCGGGGCGCTGGCGCCCCCTGCCGGCCGTGCCCGTGCGGGCGGTGCCGCCCCGGGTGTCGGTGCCCGGCTCTGGGTTCGGCCCCGGCGCGGAGCCCACACGCGTGGGACACGGGTCTGCCCTCGGCTCCGATTGCTGGGCGGCTCCCGGGGCGCACGCAGTGCAAGGTGTGGGTGTCCGCTGGCCGTGGAGGTGCCCCCCGCTGTGGGTGCCCATCGGCCGGTGGGCGCTGCTGTGCACGGGAGCCCGGGCTGCCCTCACCGGGCAGGGGCCGGTGAGGTGAGACCGAGCGAGCCCGGGTGCTATGAGGAGCTGGCACCGCTGGGTAAAAGGAGGTTGCACTTAGTCGGTTTACGCTCGCACTCCTTGCAGCCGCTGTGCCTCACCAAGGGGAAAAGCTGTTCAGGGTTTCGCTCTAGTGCTCTGCAGAGTGCTGGGAATCCGCGGCAGTCCAGTCACAGAACAAGGACACCTGCAGGTGTACACAGCAAGGTGTTGTGCGAATGAGCTGTGGGGCCCAGGTGTGTTCCCTGCCGATACTGAGCATTTTGCTGGCCTGGGCCCCTGCCCTCTGAGCCTCAGGCTCTCTATACTTGGAGACTTCAGAAAGGTGTTTTTAATATAGCACCTCCATCTGCAGTGGGGGTTGATCGTCTTTATCTAGCTCAAGAGCAGTGATATGAGGCTGACTTGCTTAGAAATGCCACACGAAAAAGACTAAAATTTTTTTTAATATTTGCATTAATTGCTTTTCTTTTATTAAGTTCTTTGGCTGCATTGGACAACTTACAGGAGACAGCATTTTGCAAATGGGAGTACATTTTTCATTATATTATTGCATTACACCATTATCTGTAAAGTGTATCCTTCAAGTTATAACAAGCTGTAATTCCATTGAAGGCTCCCTAGGATTTCTGGACCACAAGAGAGTAAAGCTGCAGCAGTTTAGTCAGAGGAGCCAGAAAATCAAATTACAGCCCCTTTAACAGTCAGCTGGGGATATACTCTTCCTCTGAGATAGCCCAGGCTGGAGTAGGTGTCTCTGCTATGCTGGAACTGGATGGATTGTACCTTTTAAGGACATTTCAAGCCATAGTAACTATTCAGAGCCAACCTTGGAATCACTGTCCTTTTCATGCTCTTTTGACACAGGGGTCAGAGCCAATGGTGTTTGACAGTGGGAGGTGGATTTTCTCTGCTCCTTGGGAGGCTGTGCTTTACTTTGGGAGCCACAAGGAACAAAAATCACCAAGTACCCAGAGAAAATGTTTGCTGAAGCTGAAGGTATCTGCTGCCTCCAGGACCTCTGGAAGCCAGGTGCTGGCTGATGGCTGGTAGGAAGTGTGTTTGCTCACAGCGCAGTGAAAGGACCTCGTTGCTCTGTGCCGAATATGGCAGATGTTGCAGCTCTCCCCTACTCTCTTGCTAGTCTTCGAGCTTGGCATGTGTCACTCTCACTGCACTGTAACTGGCCTGTTTCACTGATGGGCGTGGGATGC